AAAATATAAACTTTTATAAAATTTAGATCTTGGCTAACCTAATGGCTAATTTAAGAGATTTTAAGATCTAACAAAAGAGAGAACGATATATAATAAAAATTTTCAAGTATTTTAAGATTTGTTTAAGAATTAAAGGAATCTTATATATTAATATAATCCATAGAATCTCAAGTAATAAGAATAAAATCAATGGAGATTATATTTTCATTGTAATTGAATATTAAAATCTATTAATCACTATTAATGGATATATTGTAAGCATTTAATTTCTTAAGAAAGATGGTTGGGAAGAAAGAGTTGTACTAATAACTACAAGTAAAATTATTTAATATTTGATGATTATATTCTAAAATTTGAATAAGTTATTCTTTAAAACATCACTTAACTTTTCCATGCATTCAAATTTATTAACAGAAATAGAATCTTTTGATTAAATAATGTTTCGTTTTGAAATTTATATCACTTAAATCCTTTCCTCAATAGAGTAGTTAATACTAATGATTTGAGAACTTTTCATTATATTGAGATCACCTCCCTATTTCTACCTTTTTCACCATATTCTTTTTTAAGAACAAAAAGTGTTGGAATCACTCTTAACAACAATATCATAAAATCAGAGAGAAATTATATCAACATAGCAAACATTCACATAATTAATTACAAATAAATTCTTCACTTGTATAGAAAAATACTATTTAATTATTATGAATGGATAATCAATTAAATTAAGAGAATATTTAATAAGATTTTACAAAAAGATAAAAAATAAAATAAAAAAGATCAACTAAGATTTATATATTAAGAAGATATTCGAAAGTCAAATATTGCAACTCAAATTTACGATATAAATATGAAGTGCAAATATTTTCACTTTTTCGAAGTATTTTTGAAATTTATAGTAACCCAATTCTAAAACAATATCAACTGTTATTACAGATAGATTTTTCAGTCAAAATTATCTATAATGAACTTTTCTCTGTTCTTTTTCGAAGATCTTATGTTTCCTTTTAGCAATTAATGGAATATAAAAGGAATAAAGTGTCCTAAAAGAGAAGTAAAAATACATTTTTTATGACTTGGAGAATTGAAAGAACCAATAATTAATAAAGTATAATTATTTTTTTACCAAGCTAGAAGATAGACTGTAAATTTTCCCCTCTTAATATAATATCAATTACTTATTGATATTATATTAACAAAACTAATGAGATCATGTAGCTCTTGATTTATCTTCTATTATTTGATTACTTTCTTATATAATCCATATGTGTCACTAATTCTTCGATCTGTTAAAATAAATTTAACATGTAATCTAGTAATTCGAATAAAGTTAGAAACAAAAGACTCATATGAATTTATTGATTAAGATTCTAGATCTATCAATAAATCAATAATCTTTTTGCAGTAACATAACATTTCCTTTTTAAACAAATATTTTAAAGAACCATTTAAAATTGGTAAAATAATTATAAACCCAATTTGATACTTATATTCTAATAACTATATTTTTGCAAATCAATTGATGTAGTTTCATATAAGTTTATAAGAATCTAATTCATTAACTGTTTTAAGTGTCTATATTATTGTTAAACTGCAGGAAAATAAAAAAAATCTTACATTGATTTACAATCAAAAAAGTTATTGGATAATAAAATATTTAAGGTTCTATTTAAAATATATTATATGAATTACAAAAAAACTTGGTTAAAATGATAGGAAATTAAATGATATTTTTTGGAAAATATGCAATATAAAAATAATAAGAACCAAGAGAGTAAATTAAGATATAGTTTATCTTGGATTAAACTATTAATTTTAATACAATTTAATTTCTCTTCGTACTGTTTGAAAATTAAATCAACTAGAATATTTATTTTCTATAAGGCTAAGGTTCATCCTACCATACCTGTAATAGAGTATTTTAGACCAATTATTATATAGCATCAGCTCATTAAGTTGTTGAAGTAGTTTTACTTGCCTATATTTATTTTAGTATTCACCTAAGAGTTGAACTAAAATAAATAGAATTTGTCAATAAGATGGTATTTATAAATAATTGAAGAAATTAATAAAACATTTTAACAACGAAATTTAAAAATTCAAAATCACTTGTATTCTTTGACTTATCTAATGTATATAATTATGAGGATACAAGCACTCTCCTTTCTTATTTGATAATAATAATAATTTGGATATTATATCAGATCATTCCTGTATGGAAAAATATTTTTTTACTAATTTTTTATGACTTCATCCTTATATTTATGATTGCTTCAAGCAAAACTTCCTTATTTAAATTATTTAATTTTTGTAGTAAAGAACTTTTTGCATTAATTTTTTGTCTTAATTGAAAATAATACAATTATATTATAACCCTTCATCATCAGTAGGAAAGGTAAATCAGATGAAAGCTTCAATCTATAAGCAATTTCAATGTAGCTCTATCTATAATTAGCCCAGTACTTTAATCTCACATATCAGAGTCCATCAATAATGCGTAAACTATTGGAAAAATTTATAAATTCTGCAGTAAGTGAGCAATTTTAAATATCAATTTTGATAATGCTAATATTTAAGATTCATAATATAGTTGAACAGTTTTTAAATAGTGTGTATCTAGATTACTAAGAATGTTTGAACGAAATGGAAAGAAGATAGAACCCATAAACACGCTCCATAAAAACCTTGAATGGATTGGTTTATACTTTGTTCTTAAGAACAAAGTATTGACAAAATGCATTTGGTACCCCCATTCTAACATTCTAATTATTGCAAGTAACATAAGTGCCATCATTACTACCATTTAATCATCACATCTCTATGTTATGATTTAAATATTAAAGAATTTAAATTCCAAGTCTAATTAATCTTCACATACCTTTTCTATAATACTGAAAATTAGAATTGGATAAATTTGAAGTGTTATTAACATATGATAGATTCAAAGAATCAATAAATGAATTGAAATATGTTGTAATTTCATAAATAAGAAAAGGCAATTCCTTACTTCAATAGCATTATTAATTTGTTATTGTTTTTCCACACTATTTACTGACTTCAGAATCAGAATACTCTTTATAGACTGACTTCCTTATCCTCTTTCAGTTACCGTGCATTCTAAACAGAAACTATCATTACTATATACAATATAGTTGATGTTTAAGTATTACAATCATTAAGAGGAAGATAGCTAAGTATGAAGTAGTATCATTCGCTCTAGATGGTATCTATTTTCATTAGTGTAGGAATTGAAAATGTATTTGCTTAAATAACATTTCTCTCTTGTTTTGTAAAAGTAATCGAATATTCATGTATCAATACACAATTACTTGATTTAAAGCTTATTCTACTAGGCTAAGCTAATTCATTGCCTCTATCATGTTACTAAATAGAATAAGTAAGCCTAGCGTGGCATCTCCAATATCCTACCTGAGTGAAAAAGAAGAGAAAAATTATTTAGGGAAATAGTAGTGGAAACTATAAATATTAAGGGTTAAATATATGCTCTTTTTGTGAATAGAAGTAAAAGCTTTGAAAACTGGAATCCTTCTTATTCCTTATAATACATTAGAAAGCAATGGGATTTCAGATAATATATTTATTAAATTACTATATATAAATCATTAAAACTTTTCCTTCCTGTTAATATTTTGATAAAAAATTATAACTCTTTATACCTAAATTGGATTATTGAAAAAAATAAATGTACTTTATTGATTAAGAAAATGCAATTATTGATAATTTGTCTATTAATATAAAATTATTGATAATATATTGTTTAAAAATCAAGAAATAAATATTTTGAATTGAATTCCAGCTTAGCGATTTAACAACAATTAAAATCAACTATATATTTACACAATGTATAGTCTTCCTTCTTTGAAAAATATATTTTATATTTTTTTAATTTTTAATATAAAGCCGAAAGTAGACTTAATAACCATCTAAACTATATAATTTGATTTGATAAAGATGCAACGATAATTATATATTAAATTGATCTTGAAAATATTTGTTAAAAGGAGTAATCCTAATTAAAGTAGCTAAGAACTTTATACATAAATCAAAAATAATATAAATAAGAATTACCTAATAAAATTAAGGATTTCAAAACTTTTCTGCTTTTAGATTTATACTTTCTAATTTCTACAGGTAGAATTGTTTAATATCACAATAAAATATAAAATCAGAATTACGCTTGCCATAATTATTTAAATAATATCTAAGCAATTATTAATTTAAATGTTTCTTGTATAAAACAATATTTTAAATATCATATCCCAACCATTTAGTAATAAGGTTTTTAATAATCCTTCAAAAGAAATTAATTTATCTAATTTAATCATACTTAGCCAATTATTATACAATATTTAACTAAACTTAACAATTATAGTAG